GATTCATTCTATCTATTATAGTTTTCGAGTAAATCAATGAAATGTGAAAACACTGCTTTTTCGAACGTTATTTTTTAAGTTTTCCAACTTTGAACGCGTATTACAGAATATGGATAAGAGCACAGGAATGTATCTATACTTGCTAGGATTCCCCAAACATTCAGCTTTCATATGCATATATTGGATTCATTCTATCTATTATACTTTTTGAGTAAATCAATGAAATGTGAAACACTGCTTTTTCGAACGTTTAATTTCTAAGTTTTCACAATTTGAACGCGTATTACAGCAATATGGATAAAGCACAGGAATGTATTTGTAACTATACTTTAGCAGATATTTGGAAAATTGCTCACTGCTACTCACATTCGCACCTTCCCTTAGACTAGTCCACGCCTCACAGTTTGGAAAACGCTGCTTTAACTAAAGTATTTACAATAAACGTGTTTTATGTTGTTAGTCTTTCGTGAAGGAATTTGAGATGGCTGCGATACTGAGAACGTTGGCAACGACTGTGGCTTATCTGCACGAGCACGGCGTCGTCCACAGGGACTTGAAACCGGAGAACATACTGTTCGCTTCCTCGGACTGCACCCCGGAGAGCATCACCATCTGCGACATGGGATTCGCGAAGCAACTGCGAGCGGACAACGGTCTCCTGATGACTCCCTGCTACACGGCCCATTACGTCGCGCCCGAAGTCCTGAAACGGCAAGGATACGACGCCGCTTGCGACATTTGGTCTCTGGGCATCATAGTCTACATCCTTCTGGCTGGGGGTCGGTGCCCCTTCAACATCGCCGTCAAAGACGGACCTCAGCAGATCCTGCAGAAGATCAGCAACGGCAAAATCGATTTCCAAGTAAGAAAAACAATCCCAGTCAATTTCGTCATTCCTTCAATTGATTTCAGACGTCAAGTTGGGCGGGGATTTCGCAGCAGGCTAAAGATTTGATCGGAGACATGCTGCACGTCGCTCCGCAACGGCGACCCACCGCCGTGCAACTGCTGAAGCATCCGTGGCTGAATCCGAGCAACAACAACACCCAAAGTCAAGCGATTCCAGTGGACGCCGCCAACCTGTATCCATCGGTGAGTCGCGTCGAGCTGAAGGAGAGCGTCGCCGCTACTTTTCGCGCTATTTCGACGGCGCCGGAGGTCGCGAACATCGGCCCGGTGGCGATGTCCGAACTGGCAAGGCGGAGGATCAAGGATAAATCGAACGCGTCCTGAGCCGAAGATTCGTTGATGGTGATGAAGGAGGAAGAGGCTTCCGGGTCAATTAACTCTCTTTTTTTTGTCATGATACAAACGTACACAATCTTGCCAAGAATAATCACAAAAGCAAACCAAGTGTGCATATATAAAAATATAATCATACCGCTACGAATCAAACGAAATCTAAGCACAAGAGTATTACTAGGTGAATTAAGGTTGTAAACTATTAATTAATCAAATATCTTAAGACGATATACATATATATATATAAATATTTATAAAAAAAAATAACTTTAATCTCTAATCTTTTTAACACTATATTTCTCTCTCTTTCACACTCTCTCAATGTATGTTTTTTTTTTAATTTGTAAATTTCGATTTAGTAATTATTATTTAATTTTTACGCTAAAACCAACTGAAAACTTGTGATACCGAATCCTCACTTGGAAAAGAAAAACTTATAGTAGTAAATATGTTGTTGTAATGAAATAATCCCTTCGCGAAAGAGAATTTATTTTTGATCCGCATTGTGTAAATACTAATATTTATATTTATATATACATACAATTATATTTAGGTATGATTGCCATAGATCCATTTGTTCCTCAATTTCTTAATTTATTTATTCAAGTAACTCTCGTATAGGCATATCAAAACATAAGAAGAAAAGAAAACGTTTCCACTACTAATATCAAAAACTAATGCATTTACTTGTGATCCAATTCATTCCTTTTGCATTATTATTATAAACTTTTCGTTTTTTTGTACTCTTAACTAATATATTTATATATATATATTCTTCTACATCACTTTGGAATTATAACTGTAATTGCTGTTGTTGTTTATTTATAATTTTTCTTCATATACTTTTTTTACTAACGTCTATTTGTTGTGGCCTAAGGATGTAAACTTTTGAATGTGCACTAACTTTTGCACGAACTAAACATGTATCTATATTTTCTATCGATTGTTGAAACGATTGTTGTTGAATTTTAGATTTTAAAACGCTGCAGGAAAGTAAAACTAAAAAGAGATTTTAAATTTGTAACAGAAAAAAACAAATAAATATATAATTATAATGTATGTGTATAGGAAAGAAACAAAGAAAAGGAGGATGTGAAAAAACGGTTCAAACAATCAATTTGAGCGAATGAAGAGAAAAAAAAACAAGTGTAAAAGAAAAATTTGATTATTATATATAATATATATATAAGTTGAAGAGAAAATTATATTTATACACAGAGTGTTGTATTTATTGTGCCATGTTAAAAAAAACGAAAACAGAAATATATGTGGTGTATATATATTCAATAATAATATTGTGCAAAGTTGTCTGAATCGTTTTTATTTCGTTTAGTAAATTATCAATTTCTGCTGTAAGAATTTCATTTTCAAAAGTTGAAATTATATTAATTATAATTTATTAATTGATTAGCGTTAATATCAACAATACATAGGAAACAAAAGGTTAATTAAGTAACGTATATTTAAGTTAATAAGAATTTGAAGTGCAACAGCGCAGAAAGTGCCGAACTATAAGCTTTGAATGAAAACCAAGAGATGGCCAAAAGGAATAATTTCGTTAGCTAGTTGAGAAAATGCAACCCAATATACACATATTCATTTGAGCCATCTTGAGGATTTACTTGAAAGTCGTTTAGTTCACCCTGTTTTGGCGCTGTTCCTAATCCGCTTAATTTTTTAATTAAGATTTATCGATAAAAACTTATTAATCAAAACTTTAATACGCTAATTAGATTGTAATCTAATAAATTAATATCTTATTAATGGAATTAGCAATATTAAATTTATAAATAAGATAAAGTATGCAACACTATGTGCACGTGAGCTAAAAAATTGACTATATCGAAGCTCTAGATTCGAATAAAAATACTATTTTTGGTGTTAAATACACAAAATTCGTGCATTTATTTGTTTGAATATTTATTATAAGATATAACAAAGTTTCGTGATTCAATTTAAAATATAAATATGTTTGAAATAAGTTTTTGTAACAATTTTCTTTACATGTATTTAAAAGTCTTTTTAAAATCATTTTTCCAATGGCAAAGGTTATCAGAATAATAACATAAACTTGCGTAACTTCTTGTAAAGTTATAAATACATTTGTTATATTTCATCATATGATGTAGATGAAAAGTAGGATAGGTTGAATTCTTGGTTTGACTGCAATTTATTCAACTATCTTTAGATTTTTGTAATTATTTCGAAAAGTATAATAGACAGAATAATCACTGAATACACAAATTAAAGCTAAAATTGTAGGGAATAAAATGAATATAAATGCATACTAATGAGAGTATTGGTTTGCAAGTAAATCAAAGTCAAATTTGGAACAATGTAATGAGATTTGATTTACACTTGACTTGAAAGTTATTGGTATTAAAACTAAGAGGATTTGGATTGCTGCAGTAGTGAATGTTGAGATAAGTTAGGAAGATACAGAATTATTTGTTTGCATATTTATTATAACATATAACAAAGATTCTTGATGCAATTTTAAATATAAATATGTTTGAAATAAGTTTTTGTAACAATTTTCTTTAGATGTATTTAAAAGTTGTTTTAAAATCATTTTTCCAACGGCAAAGGTTATCAGAATAATAACATAAACTTGCGTAACTTCTTGTAAAGTTATAAATACATTTGTTATATTTTATCATATGATGTACTTGAAAAGTAGGATAGATTGAATTCTTGGTTTGACTGCAATTTATTCAAGTATCTTTAGATTTTTGTAAATATTTCGAAAAGTATAATAGACAAAATAATCACTGAATACACAAATTAAAGCTAAAATTGTAGGGAATAAAATGAATATGAATGCATACTAATGAGACTCTTGGATTGTAAGTAAATCAAAGTCAAATTTGGAACAATGTAATGAGATTTGATTTACACTTGACTTGAAAGTTATTGGTATTAAAACTAAAAGAATTTGGATTGCTGCAGTAGTGAATGGAGAGATAAGTTAGGAAGATACAGAATTATTTATTTGCATATTTATTATAACGATTCTTGATCCAATTTCAAATATAAATATGTTTGAAATAAGTTTTTGTAACAATTTTCTTTAGATGTATTTAAAATCATTTTCCAACGGCAAAGGTTATCAGAATAACAACATAAACTTGAGTAACTTCTTGTTAAGTTATAAATACATTTGTTATATTTTATCATATGATGTACATGAAAAGTAAGATAGGTTGAATTCTTGGTTTGACTGCAATTTATTCAACTATCTTTAGATTTTTGTAAATTTCGAAAGAAAAGTATAATAGACAGAATAATTACTGAATACACAAATTAAAGCTAAAAGCGTAGGGAATAAAATGAATATAAATGCATACTAATGAGAGTCTTGGTTTGCAAGTAAATCAAAGTCAAATTTGGAACAATGTAATGAGATTTGATTTACACTTGACTTGAAAGTTATTGGTATTAAAACTAAGAGGATTTGGATTGCTGCAGTAGTGAATGTTGAGATAAGTTAGGAAGATACAGAAAAAGGGTTGGATGGGAGAGAGAGAGTGGTAATGGATATAAAGAGATGCTTACGGATAGATAAATGTATAAGAGCGTGAGAGAATAATTAATCTTTCGGGTAAGATTTAATTTCGCTTTGGATTTGTGCAGTCTGTGAGCGAGACAAAAAAAAAGAGAAGGAGTTTATTTAATCGCAGAAAATTGTATTGCGTTTAATAAAGGCGCGGGCGTCGGAGGAAAAGTATTACATTTTTCATTAAAACCGTTTCCACCTTTAATATGAGCTTTCGTCCAAAAAGGGGAGAGAAGGAAAAAAGGGGTGGCACATACGTCGGGATCGGATGGAGAACGGCCGAACAGAGAATGAAGGAGGGCTGCTGTCATGCTGCAGCAATCATCCATCATTACTCTGTACAGTATGCGACCCGTTTCTGGTCCATGATTTATGGATGGAGTCTATCAGGTCGCATGCATATAATGACCGTTTAATGGATTCATCGGGAGAGGCCACGTCGATCCATTTGTCATGTGTCTCGCGGAAAAATTCACTTTTAAGAGTCAATTTGTCTGTGTGGTGATTGATAGAAGATTCGGACACGGATTTCTCCTTTTCAGAAGTCTTTATGATATTCCTCTTGAAATGGTATAGAAGAAAAGTCTTCAAGATTCGTCCTCGGATGCTGTTAGAGAAGAGTTTTCATAACTGTTAAAATATTGGAATTCTGGTCGCGATTCTTGTGCCTTTCATCACGCTGCAATTTCATCTCTCACGGAAAACTATATACCTTGAAATGGTACCGAAGAAAAGTCTTCACGGTTCCTCCTCGGATGCTGTTAGAGAAAAGTATTCATAACTGTTAAAATATTGGAATTCTGGTCGTGATTCTTGTGCTTTTCATCACGCTGCTATTTCATCTCTCACGGAAAACTATATACCTTGAAATGGTACCGAAGAAAAGTCTTCACAGTTCCTCCTCGAATGCTATTAGAGAAAGTTTATATAATTGTTAAAATATTGGAATTTTGGTCGCGATTCTTGTGCTTTTCATCACGCTGCAATTTCATCTTTCAAGAAAACTATATACGTTGAAATGTTACCGAAGAAAAGTCTTTACGTTTCTTCCTCGAATGCTGTTAGAGAAAAGTATTCATAACTGTTAAAATATTGGAATTCTGGTCGCGATTCTTGTGCTTTTCATCACGCTGCAATTTCATCTCTCAGGAAAACTATATACCTTGAAATGGTACCGAAGAAAAGTCTTCACAGTTCCTCCTCGAATGCTATTAGAGAAGAGTTTATATAATTGTTAAAATATTGGAATTCTGGTTGCGATTCTTGTGCTTTTCATCACGCTGCAATTTCATCTCTTAGTGAAAACTATATACCTTGAAATGGTACCGAAGAAAAGTCTTCACAGTTCTTCCTCGAATGCTATTAGAGAAGAGTTTCCATAATTGTTAAAATATTGGAATTTTGGTCGTGATTCTTGTGCTTTTCATAACGCTGCAATTTCATCTCTTGGGGAAAACTATATACGTTGCTGGCGCATTGCGTCCTCGTAAAAACCGCCTAACCACCTGTCCGACAGGAATATTAAAGCGTCGCGACGCTCGAGCCAACTTGTTGCCAAAGATGGAAAGAGAGATAGAGAGTGAAGAAAAGGGAAGGATGGAAAGAGAGAGAGAGAGATGAGCAAGGGCGGATGGATGAATTCGGTGGAGGTGGATGAACGGATTCGGCATCAATTATATAAGCAATAAAGCGATTTAACGGCGGTGCGAGTAATTAGAACTATAAAACGGAGCTTAGGAAATTTATACAGTTTTCTCGGATCCGAGTGTGTGTGCGTTGGATGTTGGATGTTGGATGTATATGAAGGGATGCGAGCTGTAACACGCCGTCGGTCATAAAATAAAACTTAGCACCTTTTGTTATATACGGGTTTAAATGGGGAAGCGAAACTACTATTCCGTCGAGCTCTTCTCTCCTTTCCTCCTCCTCATTCCTCCTTTCCGCTGAATTATTCTGTCTGGACTCGTAAAACCTACCACCCGCACACACACACACTCACACCAATATTATATATATATAATGATAAAAATCACGCGCTTCGTTCGGATCGGCTTAAATCAAGCTCGAGTTATACCTTCTCAAAATATATATATATATATATACGTAGTTTCTCTTTCTGCTCCATTTTATTACCTTGCATAAACCATTTCTGTTGAGCTGAATCTCCGATGCCATTCGATGTCTGATCTCCTCGCGCATTAAATCCCGCCAAAGCCGACGCTCATAATATTATAATTTTTTTTTAGGCAGTATACAT